TGAGTGCGAAAAGTGCATGGCCGCGAATTAAAAAGGTCATTTGGTTGCACTTTGCGCATTACAGTTACCTATTTTTTCTTTGCTGTTGCCCGCCTCCTGCTTTTGGTGTGTTGGAGTTGGTCAAGGGAGCGTGTGAGCGAGGCAGGCAAAGTTAGACAGACAGAGAGAGAGAGAGCGAGAGGCTGGCAGTGAAATAACTTTGGAGCGCGCTGGCAACGGTATTTGGCGCTGCTCCAAATGAGCAGCAGCCCAACGGCGCGTGCCGAACGCGAACAGCGTTAGGAGCATCTGCAAGGGGGAGGCGAAGATAGGGGGCCTGGGGAATGGAATACTCACACAAAGGCACTTGCGAACGGTGATTGCGAAGGGCTAAGGATACGCCAGGCAGCTGGCAGGTATGTCGAGGCAAACATTGTTGTGGCCAGCGAAGCTAGCAAAAGAAAATCAGCAGCAGCTACAGCCTGATTAAAGATGAACACAGTGGGGGACGAGAGAATATCAAGTGGATAGAAAGGATGTATTGGAGTCCGACATATATTCATCAGTTGAACAGAGAAAGTGAAAGAGAAAGAGAGAGACATAAATTTATAGCTGAGGTAAATGCGATCGAGGGAAGACGAAGGAGATACAGAAGAGAGTTAGAGCGACACAGATGATGACACGCAGAGAATACACAGAGAGAGTGAGAAACAGAGAGAGAGACAATGGAGACGAGAGAGAGAGAGAGAGATAGAGAGAGAGAGGGAGAGAGTGAGAGAGAGAGAGAGAGACAAACAGAAATTTCACTTAAAAAATACAAACAAATGCAGAAGGAGAAAGAACGAGACAAAAAGAGCAAAAAATAAGAAGATGATAGACAAAAGAAAAAAAAACCGAAGCCTGAGAATTGCGTAGAAGAGCTGAAAAGCTACAAAGCTGAATTAATTGATTTAAGTGAGTAAAACCTGTGAAGTATAAACAAATATAAAGCTATATATTTATATATCTGTATACATATGCATCACATTTTTGAATAAATAAATATATTAAACTACTCTATTTTTGTCTGATTCAGTATTTCTCTTAATAACTTAAGATTTTTTTTTTTTTTTTTGTATAGTTAATTCTCGATTTTCGCCGATTTAAGGACGAACGAGTCTTACTTTTTATACGAAATTAATTTTTTAATTTCCCTGCTCGGCGTTTGCAGTCGAATGAAGACACAAAGAAAAAGGAGGTAAGAAAGGAAAAAAAAAAGAAATGCGAAAAGAAGGGGAAATGGACGATAAAGAGGCTTAGCGGACAGCTGGATAGGTGTTGGCTGGACTGCGGACTGCGCGAGTGTTGGCCAGATAAGAGCATTGCAATGTTATTAAACTAATTGAAGGACGATAGGCGCCAAGGCGACCGCTCGCCATTCGCGGCTGGCTAAACGCTGGCTTATCCTTATCGCTGCCACAGCAGACCCAACAACAGCAGCAACAGCAACAACAACAAGGATGATGTGGATGGAGGGGTGAAGAAGTGCGGCTGTACGGAAGCCATGCAAATTGGAGCTCTTGGCCGATTTGCATTCAAAGCCAATGCGCTGACTTTTGCCGGACAGAGGCGAGAGCGAGCGCAACGAGTGGAAGGCGGCAAAGAGCACAGCAAATGAAAAGCAAACAATTTTCCAGCTGGAAAACAAAAATTAACTAAAGCAGCGACAATTGTTAAGCAACTGGGCTTAGCGCGGCCCAAAGGGCCGAACAGCTTCCTTCGGTCTGGCTAAAGCGGATCAAAGCTCTTTGGCAAGCATTAACAGATTTCAAAGAAGCTCAAGTATTGAATAAACCGTTAATCGGATGTATATACATATATATGGATATGTCGTAGATTTATGTGAATCACATTAAATGTTAGTATAACATGCAGTTGTACAACTCTTAAGGAGCATTTACTTATGAGAGAAGACCTAAGTATAATGGATAGTATTCCAGTGTTGTGAAATTTGTGCATATCATCATATATGATTTATAAACTATCTAGGATCATATAATCTTTATAAAACATATTAGCTTATATATCTTTTATATCTTAACTCCTATAATCTTTATTCAGTATCTTAGCTCATATATCCTTTATAGAATATCTCGACCCATATATTCTTTATAAAGTATTTTAGCTCATATATCTGTTATAGGATACAGACTCACACACTCTTATTAGAATATCTTAGCTCGTGTATCCTTTATAGATCATCTCATATAATCTTTATAAAGTGTATCTGATCACATATCCCTTATATCTTTCCTCCTATAATATTTATCATATATACCCTTAATAAAGTATCTCAGCTCTTATATCTCTCAAAGATTATTTTGAGTTATATATCCTTTATAAAATACCTTACGACTCATATATAATAAATCCTTGACACTCCCGGGGTCTCATAGAATATCTTAGAGTCTGTATCTCCAATGGAATAACTCAACGTATATATCCTCTATTTAGCCTTCTTACATATCTCTATACCAATTATTATATGCAATATAAACATAGCTACGTAAGAAAGCTACGTATCATTTATTTCATATATATTTTACACAAACAATCCAGTATATCCTATTAAATTCCTTTGATGCTAAAGAGTTGCTTGCGTTAAACTGCTTTCTGAGCGTTGCCATAAATAAAATCCAATAAGTAAAATATATATAATATTTGAAAATCTAAAATAATATATATTCTCGTTATTTATGCTTTCAGCTGCCTCGTAGCTGTATAAATAAAATATTTCCTAAAACATTTACCGAGAATAAATTCTTTGATTACTTTAAAGATGTTTGCCTGCACTGAATTTTCTTTTCAGTCTGCTGAAGTTTTGCTGCTTATCTCAGTCTCTCCCTCTATCTCGCTCTCTTTTTTTATCTCTCCCCCTCTCTGTCTGGCCGTCTAATGTGCTCTCGCTTATTTTAAGTATCGCCCTTTTCACAGTAATACACTCGGTTAGTTCAGGCCAAATTGAATTGCTGCTCGACGCAAAGTCAACGGTCTCAGCTTTCAAACACTTTATAGTTCTGCTTCTGCTGTTGCTTCTTCTTCTTCTTGCTTTATTTTTTTATTTTTATTTTTTAGTGGTTTCTTTACGGCCAAGTGTTTGCTTTTGCCACTCGTTGACTCTTTTTGCACACACACACACACACATACACACACACTCACACCCACACACATATCATAATTTATTTGCGTATGTGTGCTTAGCAAAAGTGTTAAGTTGGCAACACGAAATATGTGCGCGCCGCAAGACTTTGGTTTTCCACTTAGCTTTCCCTTTTCTCCGCAGTCCACAAAAAATAAAAATAAAAAATAAATGTAGCAAAATCTCAGACGCAGTTGAGCCACGATGCGGTGCGCAGCTGGCGGGACAAATGCGTGGCTAAGGCGCACAGTGGTTCGCGTGGCCTCCAAACTGGCTTTGCTAATTGGAATTCCAATTGGAATGGGGTTGAACATGGAAGATGCAAATGGAACCGAGGTGGTTGGAACTAGCTTATCAAAGCTCACTTGGAACTAGATTTTACATAAGTCATATGAATTGAAATTTGATAGATTTCAATTTGGAACTACTTGGAACTAGAGTGCAAAATGCAATTGGAACTAGTAACATTTGAAATGAGTTACGAGTTTCAGTTAGTTTAAAAGTTAAAAAAAAAAAATGATTATATTGCAATTTGGAACTAGTTCTAAGAAAATTGAAACTGGAACTAATGTTCTTTAAGCTAATTCGTTTTTAAAACAAGATATTTTAAGGGGAATTTTTATTGATGGACTTCAAAGTGATGAGAATTTAATACAAATTAATATCGCTTAAACTAAGCTTGTATATTCCAGTTCGCTTTAAATAATTATATAAACGCAAGTTGATTCCTATTGAAACTGATGAATAAAGAGCAAGAGCTTAAGCTAATATAATCAAATCAAATTGTCTGTCACTGTGCAATAAATTTGATACCACTGTGCGTCGGTTGCGGCATAAGTGGATTACCGTATTAAGTTTTTATTATTAGTCTAACTGGCGAAGACGGCGTTGACTTTGGGCAACCCTCAGTGACGAGGGCGAGGACGTCAACGTTCTTGATGGTTAACAAGCGAGTGAGTGTGTGTTTGCATGTGTGTATGTGTGGGAGGCTTAAGCCTCTAACAGCTGCAAATTAAGTGAAAATAAGAAAATTAGCTTAAAATATTTGCTGCGGCCCTTCAATTTCATTTGCCAGCTTGCGGCCTAAGCGGCTTAGGCGTGTCATAGTTCCTCTTCATCTTCTGCTTGTTGTTGTTGTTGTTGCTGCTCATGTTGGTAATAGTTCTAGCAAGTTAATAATTAGATAGAGCAGCCTTGATCCAGCCTAACCCGATCCCAATCGCAATTCCAATCTCAAACACCCAACAAGAGAGCCATTAAAATTTGCGTGGCTGCTCAACTCTCTTGGCGTTCATTTGCCGGCCAAGGCATAACTTTCATTTATGTTTGCCGCCCCAGCCTCAGCCCCAGCCCCAGCACGCATATTATGCGATATATATTCACTCTCTTCCTTCCTCTCTCTCCCACGCCCTTTTTCTTACTCGCACTCTCATGCGTGTGCTGGTATATGAGGCTCTGGCGATTGCAAAACTTTCGCAACAATGGCGACAAAAGTTTCGCTTCCTGTTGATGTTGTTTCACTGTTTGCTGTTCTTGGAAAGTAGCTTTGATACAACCAGTACAGGCAACAACAGCAACAACAGAAGCAGCAGTGGCAGCAGTAACAGCAGCAACAACAACAACAATAAATGCGCTTAACTAATGACAAATTGCAATCAAAGTTGAGTGCGAAAAAAAAAGGTAAAGTGCAGGCAACTTTGCTCAGCACTGAAATTCCCAAACGGTTTCAGTTTGCTGCAACATCAGGTTGCAAGCAGCCAAACAAAGTGTGTTTTCTCTTGTTGCTGTTGTTGCTTCAGTTTCATGTCTTTCATATATCTTAAGTTGAGCTTGAGGTGTTGCCTCAAAAGGACATAGGCCAAGCTAAAAGCAGGGAGGGAGAGGGTGAGTCAGAGAGAGGGTGCAGAAGAGGAGGAAGTATTGGTCGAGGAAGAGGAAAGGTAGAGGTAGAGGTAGAGTTGGAAGTGGTGCTTGAGGTAGAAGTAGAGGTAGAGTGAGAGTTTCAGTTAGATGTAGAGCTAGTAGAAGAGGTAGAGTTAAAGGTTAGAGGTAGAGGTAGATTTAGAGGTAGAGGGGGAGCTAGAGGGGGAAGTAAAGCTAGAGGTAGAGATAAAGGTATACATAGAGGTAAAGGCAGAGGTGGAGCTAAAGGTAGAGGTGGAGTTAGAGGTAGAAGTAGAAGCAGAGGTAGATTAAGAGGTAGACATAGATGTAGAGGTAGAGGTAGAGGTAGAGGTAGAGGTAGATGTAGAGGTAGAGGCAGAGGCAGAGATAGAGGTAGATTTAGAGGTAGGGGCAGAGGTGGAGCTAGAGATAGAGGTGGAGGTAGAAGTAGAGGCAGAGGTAGAAGTAGAGGCAGATTTAGAGGTAGAGGGGGAGCTAGAGGCGGAAGTAAAGCTAGAGGTAGAGCTAGTAGAAGAGATTGAGGTGGAGCTAGAGCTTGGGGTAGATGTAGAGGTGGAGCTAGAGCTTGAGGTAGAGGTAGGGGTGGAGCTTGAAGGAGAGGTAGAGTTTGAGGTAGAGGTACAGTTTGAGCTAGATGTAGGGGCGAAGCAGCAGCTACTAGTATTATTAGTTTTTGAGCCTTGACCATTGGCAAACACATTGATGCACACACACACACCTATATATAGACACTCTCTCAGGCACCGCACACACATGTAGGCTTAAAGTTGTCAGCTAAGCTGCTAAGTTGTCGAGTGTCCTGTCTCTTTCGCTCTGCCGCTAGTCCTTTTTGTTGTGTTGTCATTTGTTTGCTGCTACTCTATTAGCCGCATTTTAATTCAGTTACTTAAGTTTAGTGTGAACACAACAATTTCATACTTGAAGACACACTTACACGCACACGCACCCAGACATGCACAGCCAGCAAGACAGGCAGTCAGGCAGTCTAGGGAGGGCAACGGTCAGGGCCCATGCGGCGTATGGGCAATTTCCAAAAACTGCTGCTGCAATTTGAAAATTTACTTTGTTTGCTCTAATGTGTGTGTGGGTGTATGGGTGTGTGTGTGTGTGTGTGTGTGTGTGTAATTTTCACATAGACTGTCTGTCAGTCAGTTGCCGCAGTGACCTCACATTGTCACAGCTTTGCTGTGTGGCAAGTGGCAGGCAAATGCCTGGTCGTCCGCCCACCCGACCGACTCGGCTCCTGCTGCGCTGTGGTCAAAGGTAAAAAGTTTTGTCAAATTGAAAATGTTTACTGCTTCGTGCTTAGCAGTTAGTTGCGGGTGGGCGCGTGGGTGCGTGCGTGGCCTGACAGTCGCTCGGGCGGCAAAAAACATCTTAAATTAGATACATTTTATCGCTACACATGAGCTGCTCTTACAGAGAGAGAGAGAGAGAGAGAGAGAGAGAGAGAGAGATAGAGAGAGAAAGAGAGAGAGAGAGTGAGTGTGTGTGTGTGTGATAGGAAGAGACCTGGGCAACCGAGCTACACAGCTGGTAAGAGCTGTGCAAAGTTTTGAAAGATATTTATTACAGGACACTGCAGCCCAGAGCAGACCAGACTCGGCCAGTTGCAATGGCTAACAAGGACAACGTGGAAAGACTCAACTTCGGTGTGTCTAGCCGTGTGGCATGTCAACAGCCATTTAATTTGATTTTAAAGCTCACTACAAACACCGTTTCAACTGCTCACTCTATGTGAGTACGTCTCTCTCTCTCTCTCTTAGACTCTATGATGGCATCCCTAACGAGGCTCTGTCATAAGTACAACTGAGCACTTAATTAGGCATTCGTTAAATCTCTTTCGAATGCCGAAAAATTCTTGAGCTTAAGAAAGTCGAATGGCAACGCTGGTAAAGCAGAATAAAATATATCCTTCTCTCTCACGCTCTATGTAATGAAATTCCTGCCCAGCTAAGCTCTACGCTCTACACTTTTCAATTTCTCAAAATCTGAGCGTTGCCATATGTCAATTGAAAAGCATGCCATCTGGCAGCTTAGCTGCCTATTTCAAAGACAATTGGTATATGATAGTCTTCTCTCTTGGCACAAAACCCATATACCCCGATTCGCTTGACGAGCGAGCATCTCGAGTAATACAATTTGTTGTTCCACATCGAGTTGCCATCAAATCAGCGTCAGCATTAAAAGGTTCTGCCCTCGAGCTATTTAAGTAACATATTCCAAGAAAGAATTCACTCGCACACACACACACATACACACTCGCACGCATGCATGCATGGCACACACATGTCAAATCAATGTCAGGCGACAAAATCAAAATCAGCAAAATAAGCTGGTTGCTTGCTCGCAGGCGTTGTCATCTTCTGGCTGCCTCTGGCTGCCATTCGGGGCGTCAATCAAATGCAGAAGTTTAACTGCAATTGCCAATGCAGCAGAAATGCATGCGAGTATGTGTGTGTGTGTGTGCGTGTGAATTCGAGAAATTGCCTAGCAATTGGCAATGTACGTCATCTAAATAAATAGCTGGCTGGGTAACATGAATGAATCGCATGGCGGATCTCGGCGCATGGATATGCAAATTGAGCTGCGTCAAACTGTTGCAACATTTTGCCGTGTGCCCACCTGCCAGGTGACTGGGCCAGAGCAGCTCTGCTCCAGTGGCAAGCGCGCGCCACATGCCACATGCCACGCGCTGTTGTCTCGTGTCTCCGCTGCTTAAGACAAAAACAGCGAGCGCATTGTCAGCACAAAACTTCATCGACACGTGAGCAGCAGCAGCAGCCGCACAAGAGTTGGAGCAGGGGCAGCAGCAGGAGCAGGGGCAGAGGCTGCAGCAGCAGGAGCAGAAGCAGCAGCAGCAGCAGCAGCCGCACAAGAGCTGGAGTAGGGGCAGCAGCAGGAGCAGAGGCAGCAGCAGCAGGAGCAGGAGCAGAAGCAGAAGCAGGAGCCCCAGGAACAAGGCAGCAGCAGGAGCAGAGGCAGCAGCAGCAGGGGCAGAAGCAGGAGCAGGAGCAGCAGGAGCAGGAGCAGAGGCAGCAGCAGCAGGAGCAGCAACCGGAGCAGAAGCAGGAGCCGGTGCCAGAGGTGCACTATAAAATTGAAGAAATTATATGGCATGCTTCTGTGCGCCGGGCTACAGGCACGCAACGTCGCAAACTCATCATCCACAGCAGCAGCAACAACAACAACAATAATAATAACAACAACCATAACAACAGCAGCAGCAGCAGCAGCAGCAATACCAAACAACTATCTCAAGACATAAGAAGCTATTAAAAACAAGCCGAAGCTTCGATACTCTTTTATGTCTAGTTCGCTCCCGTCAATTTCCAGTCTAATTCGCTTTAGACTAATCGGCTCTACCCATCTACCCATTTATGGGAATTTCGAGAAGACTATTGCATTGATAGAGAAAGCCAGAGGAAGCATTCTCGTTTCCCATGTATTGCTGTTATAAAGCTTGTCTCCCAAATCATGCTCTTGCATGATCAAAGTTCCCAAAGAGTGAAAAACCCACTCTCACAACCAGCTCAAGCTAACCATATCCATTCCATCCACATAGATAGTAGTAGTAATATGGATCAAGTAGAGTTCCTTGTCGAGTCTAGATAGATAGCCGTAGTAGTAGTCACACAGATAGCTCTAGTAGTATGGATCGAGTCGAGTTCCTTGGTGAGCCGATCGACTTGCCTGCGTTACAAGCTGCACATCGAAATGATGCTACCCGACGGCAGAGCACTATAATTGTCGCCTGCACGTACACTTGACGCATAATGGCAATGCCGGAGCGGTGGGCGGGGTGGGCGCTGTGAGAGCTTGAAAGGATTATGCTGAAAGGTAAATAAAAGTAGTGCCAGCAAATGATGAACCCAGCTGATGAGACCCGCATGCCCTTGCGGCCAGTCGGTTAATAATACAATTTGCCGTCGTCTGTCTAAGTAGAAGTGAAACTTTAACAGCAAGAATTGAAGATATATAAACATATACTATATATATAGATATAGAGGTATATGTATGCTGTGAGAGACTGCTTAAACGGAAATGTGAATAAAAGAAACTTGAAGAAAGTTCATTAAAGTTAGTCCAGAAAGAGAGAGAGAGAGAGAGAGAGAGAGAGAGAGGGCAGCCAATGCTTTGAGCCCAATTTAATTCTCAGATTGTTCAATTGCCAGATCTACTGCTTATATAAATATATATTACATATATACCATGCTGCCTCACTTGGCGACCTTTGAAGGACTTGCAGCATTTGTTAATTCTTTTTTTTTTTTTTTTTGTTAACTGCTTTGCGTCTTTAAGTGGCCTGAAGTGCCTGAAGCCAAGCTCACGTATCCATGATGTGGCCTTGCTTAACAGCTATGCCATCAAATGTATGCACACCTGCGAGACATACACAGACACACACACACACACACACACACACACACACGTTGAGCGGGTTTGCCGCGAAAGAGAAACTTAAATTAAAAATGTCAAATTGCATACATTTAGGAGCTAATGAAATAAGTTAAGCGACAACAACAACAACAGCAACAGCAACTAGAAGCAGAACAAGAAACAGCAGCAGAAGACGGAAAAGTAGTTGTTGAAGCAGCAGCAGCAGCAGCAGCAGCAGCAGCAGCAGGAGCAGAGACGAAATCGCGCTCGCGCCAAGCACCGCATTAAGCACACTACAGAACAGCAGCACAAAGCGCCACCTACACACAAACACTGGAACTATCTGCATGCCATCTCGCTCGCACGCGCTGACTGCCTTTCGTTTGCATTGCAATTTGATTTAATTTGACTTTTCTACTCTTTTCGCTCTCTCTATATATATATATGTATATGCATAAGTATATAAACTTTAAGTGTGCCAACGTCAGCGTTGCCAGATGTTTTCACTGTTTGTTTACCAGCTACCCATGTGTGCGTGTGCGTGTGTGCGTGTGTGTGGCTGCAGCTAGTTGTCGCTGCAGCACGCTGCGTTATTCATTTAGTTGGCATTCAGCCTGTGGCAAGTAATATGCCATCTGTCAGGCGAATGCGAATGTGAATTAGCTGCTGAGCCAGATTTGCCAATAGGCCCAAATGGACGTGCACTGGGCTGGGATTGGGCTTGAACTGGGCTTGAGCCGGGCTCAGCTGGCGGTGGGGCTTAATGCCCTCGCCTTTCTCACCTTCGGTTGGGGACAGGCAGATTATATCGTTTGCCAAAGAGCAAATGCAGCGCACGTTACGTGCTTATCGCACAATCTCATTATCTTTGTGCGCTGCACTCTCTCCCTCTCTCTCACACACTCTCGCTCTATCTCTGTCGCTCCTGCAGTCGCTGCTGTCGGCTGTCAAGCTTCTAGCCATCCAGAACTATCCGTCTATCAATCTATATCTAGCTGCTTAACGGCACCCGTCGGCCACCATTGATGATGGTCAACAATGCGCGTATCTATAAGATGCATGCATGCACCACACATACATATATACCTTCTATACATGTACATGTGTGTGTTTGTGCATGCCCTCAATGTGAGTCCCTCTGCATTTGTCTTAAGTCAGCGCGCTGCTTGTTTGTTGTTTTTGCACTGCTTTCTTTTTGATCATACTCTGTAATCGCCCAGCGACTGGAGCATATACGGCTACTCACATTTCACTGATATGTATACAGTATACAGTATACAGTATATGTATAGACAGAGCATCGCTTGGCTGCCCGCACTCGCTCCACTCGGCTGGCGTTGATTGTTGTTGACTTTGATTTTTGCAATCTGGTTTCGATTTATTTTATATTTCTTCCAGTCGACTGTCATTTCTGCAGCGTCCGCTCGCCCACAGACACGCCCACGTTTGGCACATGACGCTCGGATTCTAATTTAGTTCATCGGCTTAGGTTCCACTGTCCTTGTTGCATACAATTTGAGTAAATAGCACAAAATATATTGACACATGCGGGCCGCCTCGCACCCTCTCTCTCTATCTCGCTCTCACTCACTCTCTCATCTCTCTCTTTGCGTGTGTGTGTGATATGTGACAGACGTCACGAATCGTAGCCGATTGCACATTTAACATTTTGTCAGCACCCGCATTTCGTCAACGTTTCGAATTCTCGATTCCCTTTCGCATTTCACTTACAATTGGAATACCCTGTAGACCTTTAGAGCGAGTCGTTTGCGATTTGGGGTCAATCATATGATAGATGAATTTCCTTATCAGAGAACTTAAATGAAAATCGATATGCCAAGGAATGTATTCATAGTTCATGCTCTCTCTTTTTTTCAAAGCTGTTCCTATTTGATAATATTGCTCTTTCTATCTCACTTGTTCACTCTCTCGCTCTTTATCTCTTTCTCCCTCTCCCCCCTCTTTCTCTCTCGCTCTCATTGTGTCTCTATAAGTCTTTCCTATTTCACTTGTATTCTATGTTTCAGTTGAATCTCTCTCTGTCTCTTTTTCTTTGTCTCATTTTGTTATTTGGTCTACCCTACTCCATTTCTGATACTCTATCTAACCTTCCTCTTTTTGTCCATTTAATGTCTAACACAATGATTATTTTTCACGCTCTGCTTTGCTCACTCTCTTTCGCTTTTACATATCCTCCTTCATCCACATTTTTCGTTATTACGCATTGTCTCTTTACTTTTATCACTCTCTTTCATTATCTCTCTCTATGTCTACCTCCCGCTCCTGTCTATATTTAGCTTTCTCCTTCGCTCTCTCTCTCTCTTTCACTCTCTCTCTCTCTCTCGCTCTCTCTCGCTCTCTCTCTCGCTCTCTCTCGCTCTCTCTCTCTCGCTCTCTCTCGCTCTCTCTCTCTCTCTCTTCCTATGTCCAGCTTCCTCTGCATCATCCCATATCTCAAACCAATCTCTCCACATCCATCCGTTACTCTAATTCTTTCTCACTCTCTCTCTCTCTCTCTCTCCATATATAGCTCTCTCTCTCGCTCACCCACTCTTCAGCAATTCTCTCTTCTGATTTTACTTTCGCGGATCAGCATCAAATGCCCACTCATTCATACGACTTTTCTTCATTAAGTTATCCATCTTTCTGCCTGTTTCTATCGCTTTGCTCTCTGCAGGGTATCTCTCCATCGGTCACTCCGCACTCGAACATTCTGATTTGTGTGTTTGGCATTTTTTGTTTCTCTTTCATTTAAGCTCATCATAACTCTCGCCGCATTTACCAAATGCAAGCGATGCAAAACTTGCTCATTGTTGTTGTTGCTAATGYTGCTGTGATGTGCTGTTGTTGTTGTCCGTTGTCCGTTGGCTGTTGGCTGTTGTTGGTTGTCGTTGCTCGCTGGTATAAAGCAGGTCAAGAGCTTTTCACTGCCAGCTCTCGATAAAATTTAGCATTGAGATGTCAATAAGCTGACAAATTGTCAACCAAATGAGATATGCGAGACAATATCGTCAGAGTATATGTTGGCAATCGAGTGTGAGTGTGAGTGTGAGAGTGAGCGTGTGCATGTGTGTGTCTCTGTGTATCTGTGTGCTTATGGACAGTGTTAATACAAAACGTAATCAAAATCAAATCGAATGAAAATTATTTCGAGTTGAGTTGTATGTTGACAAGTTCATTATGTTTGCATTGCTTTGGCGTATGCTTTGTGTTTGTCCGGCAATATGACAACACACACACACGCACACACACAGGCACCCACACTCACACACACACATAGTTACACATCAAAATGTGGCGTACACTAAAAGCTATCAGACGAGCCGCAAATAGAACTAATTTGATGTGTGAATAACAGCAACGAAAAGAGACGACTGTGTGTGTGTGTGTGTGTGTGTGTGCGGGTGTATGTGCTTGTATGTGTACAAGTGTTGGCATAGCATAGCTCTATGCCTCATACATATATGAAAGCAAGACAAACCCCCTGATGTCAGGATACAATACCGAAATGATGGACCAACGGGCGAGACAAATCGAATGATAAGCCAAACTTGCTGGCACCACAGATGTGTGTATGTGTGTGCGTGTGTGTGTGCGTGTTTTGATTTTGTGATATATGCCGTATTAATTCAATTTGATAAGAACCGACAGACAGACCGAATTTCATTGGAATTTCGATAAACTCGAAAATCTATAGGACAATACGCTCTGCTATCTATTGATGCAATGCCATATCTGACCAGACCAAACATATGCCCAATTCCACCAACAACAACAGCAACAACAGCAACAGCAATAACAATCACAATGAAAACAACAAAAGCAATAACAACTACAATAATAATACTAAGAGGATACAGCAGCGGCTGCTTGTCTAGAGATTATGTAGACAATGCAAATGATTTCCAACTAATATATGAAAGAGCTGAGTGAATGAGTGAATACATGAATGAGTGAATGAGCGAGTGAATACCACATGAGCCTCGTTTGATTAACTAACAAAAGGCCAAATATTCACAGCCATTGAGCAATATCGAGTGATAAGAACAATGCAGCTGCTTACAAGACGGCAATTGCTAGCTTTTACTGCCTTAAGCTCTAAGCAGACCTGAGGCAAATCAATTTGTGTGGCCATAGAGAGAGAGATAGAGAGAGAGAGAGAGAGAGAGAGAGAGAGAGAGAGAGAGAGAGAGAGAGAGAGAGAGAGAGAGAGAGAGAGAGAGAGAGAGAGAGAGAGAGAGAGGAGTTAGACACAGGGATAGACATTCGCATCGTCAGCTCTTAGACTCTTTCGGACTCTAATATAACCTTTATATATAATAAACATTTGTTAAGACTTTTCCAGTTTTCTCTTGCCATGAAAAGCCCCTTATGGGTGTTTTGTATTTAAAGCTTCATAAGTAAGTTTGAGTTGATAAATCTACTTTTTTTGATTTCTATTCGATTTTCTAAACGAAAGCAATAAGCGTCGGTCTTCCTCTAATTGCCTTTAGTTAATCGAAGTCATTATTTGGGACGTAAGTGCTCCGAAAATTCAGTAGAAAAAGAAAGAAGAAGAGTGATGGGAGAGAGAGAGAGAGAGAGAGAAAGAGAGAGAGAGAGAGCGATGACAGAAAGAACGACAGGGAGAACGATCACAAAGGGGGATATCATAGAGAGAATGATCAACGGGAGAGCGATGACACAGAGAAAGAGAGAGAGGGAGAGAGAGAAAGATATCAGAAAGAGAGAGAGGGACAGATGACAAAGCAAGAGAGAGAGAGAGAGAGAGAGAGAGAGAGCGATGACAGTGAGAGCGATTTCATGGATAGCGATTACAGGGAGAACGATGACAGAGCGAGAGATCACAGAGGGGACGCTCAAAGAAAGAGATATAACAAAGAAAGCAAGCACGAGGGGAATGATGACAAGGAGAGCGATGACAAAGAGAGAGAGAAAGTGAGAGTGATAGAGAGAGAGAGAAATCACAGTGATAGCAAATTGGCGCTTGGATAAATCCAATTTCTATGAAAGTCTTTTCACCTAACGATGAAAGTTTCATATAAATTGTATGGCTTATAAATAGATATCTCATTGTTTGTTTCTTCTGCCTCTCTGGCCATGCTTGGCCTATATACGTAAATCTTTCCGGTAGCTTAATAGCTTCAGGTGTCACATAAAATTAGTTTGATAACTTTTAAATGTGTACGCAAATCAAAGTTTGTCATGTGGTTTAATCATTTTTCATTTAATGACAATAATTGAGTCGCCATATTAGAGCGTATGCACATATTAATTTCATGCGCTGACATTTATTGGCAATGCGAGGAAAATGCTGAGCTGCTTTGCAAATGTGCAATAAAAAGTGAAATATTTCATCAAATTGTGCTAATTGAACATGTTTATTAATTGCATTTAAAGCAAGCCCATTAATATGGCCTGTGCTGTAGCTGCACACATACACACAGACACACATATATATAAATATGCTGACATCTTCGAGCTGTCTCCGACCATAAACATGGCATCGGCATGAGTTATCCTTGTGCTCATTACATTTGGATTAACATGTTAATAATATGTGTGGACGTGCCTCACTCCAAGTATGTGTGTGTGTGTGTATGTGTGTAACCACAATATGAATGCAGCCACACACACACACACACACCCGCACACACACACAGTGTTGGTCAGATCAATGTGGGCAGATAGTCAGCGAGTGTTATAATTGTATGTTTGACAATCTTCATAACTGTCAATTAAATTGGCATTTGGCATGCCAAGTCGTATGTGGCCAGCACTCAGTCTAATGTAATTGTTTAACACACTGCTGCGCATTATTATAAACAAATGTCACACACACACACGTGCACAATGGGACATTTGGACAGTTGGACATGCAACATGGTTGGCCCGATTTTATTGACTGCATTACATTTGCGGGCATCAAGTGAGCACAGCAGATGTATGAGTGTATGTGTGTGTGTGTGTGTGTGCGTGGCACAAACATGCTTGCCAATTTGCATATGTGGCACGCCCATGTGCGCCCCTCCACAGTGTTTTGATTTATAGACCGTTTGATCATGTGTAGTCTAATCAATTTTCGTGCCCATTGAAACGAGTCCCGATTCTTGGTATGCGAGATGCGAAATCCGAAAGCTCAAATCTCAAATATGAAGTCTGAAATCACAAATTCAAATTGTTTAAGAATTGCTCGAAATGACATATGCTCGGTACGTACCACTCCGGACAGTTGACAGGTGACATCCGATGCGAGACACACACACATAGCTAAATAATCGACTAGCTTCGCTCAGCTGCTCAAGTATTTACTCCCATCTCGCATCCACCTCGGCCACAATATGCAAATGGCGAATGCCTAAAAGTATGCAGCAATAAGCTCGATGGCGTATCAAGTGCCAGAGACAAGTATCGCAGCTCAGGGGAGAGCACAGCATCCGCCAGAAACCAGAATGCCAAATTTATTATTGAACAATCAAATATGAGTCTGAGTGTGGGTGTGTTAGAAAATATGTGAATGTCTATATAGAATGTATTTACATTTATGTAGGTGCAGGGCACATAGGGCTGTATTTATGAATGTGTGAGAATGAATGCATAAATGTACACAAATATGAATGTATGAGTGTATGAATGTGGGAATGTATGAATGTRTGTATGTATGTGTGAGTGTGTGAATGTATGCATGTGAGAATGTATGAATGAATGTATTAATATATGGGTGTATGAATGAATGTATGAATGAATGAATGAATAAATGCATGAATGAATGAATGAATGTATGAATGAATGAATGAATGTGTGAATGTATGAGTGTATGAATGTATGAATATATAAGTGTATGAGTGTATGAGTGTATGAATGTATGAATGAATGAATGAATAAATGCATGAATGAATGAATGTATTAATGTGTGTGAATGTATGAATGCATGAATGAAAGAATGAATGAATGTATGAATGAATGAATGAATGTATGAATGTATGAGTGTATGAATGTATGAATATATAAGTGTATGAGTGTATGAATGTAGGAATGTATGAATGTATGTATGTATGTGTGAGTGTGTGAGTGTGTGAATGTATGAATGGATGAATGTATGAATGTTTGAATGAATGAATGAATGTATTAATGTATGGGTATATGAATGTATGAATGAATGAATGAATAAATGCATGAATGAATGAATGTATGAATGTGTGTGAATG